GGGAGAATAGGACGGAATTTGCGCGGTAGAAATAGAATATTATTATTTTTAGTAAGTTGTTTGCTCTTTCTGTTAGATTATTTGTTTGTTATTTTCTTAGATTGTACAACTAAAATAAATATGTGTTGATTTCAGATGCAGTCCCAGAGCCATGATACACGTTGATAAGGTGATAACTTCGAAGGGAATTGCCGGTAAATGACATTCCATTTTTAAATGGAGATACCACATATTTTTGCGCTCTTTGCATGGAAGTTAAAATGTTTATTGGAAGTAAAGAATATTACAGAGAAAATATTGATGTAGCTATCATAGCAGGAACATTTCTAGGTGGCTTGATGTGTTGTATAATCGATGAATTTGTTTTATCTGACAAAGAATGTACAGAACATTAAGAACTTCAACATCAAACTTTAGTGGACTTTCTGGTAATGAAGCCAACCAAATAGGATTTGCATTGTGTTAGGTTTGAAGACTATGATAGAGTTACATCTGCTTTTTTAAGAGTGCCCACATATTGATCAATCAACAGACACTTCCATGGAACTTCACATGATTGTATTTCTTATTATTAATAAAGATAATACAATTTGACAGGTATTCAGCTTTTGGTTATCCTTATTGTATTTTTGTTTCTTAGGTACTTTTCCGCGTCACGTAGTGTGTACTGATCCGATAATTTACTGCCAAAACACGACCAAAAGAATTTGATTCTGATTTGCTACATGTAAACTATCTCCAACATATCGACGAATTAGTATGGTCCTGGGTGATCTAGCAAATGTGGCTTAAAATTCTATCTGACACCTCTGCATGTGCATTAAATTGCAAGCAAATAAATAACAAATTCCTTTACTTCTATATATAATATATTTTAGGAGTTTTTTTATATCGTTTAATTGTAAAAGGGCAATTTGCATGTAAATTATGAAATAAATAAATTATTTTGAAGAGTTTATTTTTATACTCTGAAATTTATTTACTTATTAGAAATAAACATTGGCGGGGAAAAAGTCTAAATGTTTGAGCAAAGCATTAATATTTTTGCCTTCATATTTATTTATTGAAGTAAACTTAGTTTTGAAGAAGTGGGTATATTCGGAATGATTAAGGGCGGAATTTCCCACTTTTTAATAATATTAAAAATATCGAGGGTACTCGCTCGTAGATAGCCACTTTTCTCACCGCTGTCTTATCTAATTATTCCACCATAACATTTATTATGTTGCTTTTTTATGTTTTCTTTATGTGTTGTGTATATTCCTACTCAAAACTCTGGTTTCATACGAAGCTGGACTTAATTGAACTGTCATTTTGCCGTAGTTTTTGGGCGTGGGATATACTGTCACCACCTCCTAACAATAAACTTGATTATTTCTAATCTATCTATATATCATAAAGTTAGCGGGTGCTCTTTCTGCAGAATTACAAATTGATCAATTTAATTACACAAAGATATTTGTAATAGGTGCTATTTGGGGTTTCCTTCCTCTCACCACCAAGCGTCCCCCTCCCTCTCTTGGCGTCTTTCCTTTGTGTTATATTGTCTATTTAAGTTGTTTTTTTACTCGCCCCTCTGTATGTTTTGAATATGAAAATCTTGGTCTTGCTCAATAATTATATTTGTCCACAGTCTTATATGTCCTAAAGAATAAATGTTAAACCTGATCGTTCGTTCTGGCCTTTATTATTATAATTTGTTTTTTTTTTTGTATCCAACAAGACAATTCATGTTGTGCTCCATCATCTCACTACAATTGGTTATTAGTCTTTTATATCTCTACCTTTATCACCATTATCCACTTTCTCAAATATTTAAAATTCAGCTTTTTTTTGTATTTTTTTTTTTCGCATGAACGTTGTGTATTATTAGCGTGGAGTTTTTTAAGGCTTTACATTAAGCTCGAGGGATGTGGGGGTTGGGATAATCTTTTTGTATTTAATCCTGTGTGTATGGGTTGATAAAATGTGTATAAATTCTACTATGGGGGGGGCATTGTTCGTCTTTATATGGGGTACTTTTTCTCCTCACCTGAGACTAAATAAAAAATATTGTGTTTCTTTTTAGTTACCGTGGGAGTGAGTGAATGTATAGTTGTTGACATGTTTGTGCTAGTACCATGGGCTCTGTGAGCAGCATTTCCTAACATTGAAAAATTCTGTAAAAATTCTGTTATATTGCATATAATATGGTACACAAATATGTATTCTAAATAAATAAACATTTATGATATTGTACTAAATTGTGATTATTTTTACATAGAAAAAATGTCTCATACTTTCTTTGTCAGATATTTCGTTAAGTTTGTCTAGACTATGAATTTTCGTTTGTTTTGACAACTTAAATCTACAGATACATTTTTAACATTCTTAGAGGTTTTTGTTAATAATATATTTATATATCCTTAACCTAACATGGACACATGAAAGGGTGAATTATAAGGGATTTTTTGTATTGATATTCCCCCACGCGCCCTCAATTAGTTTCCCCCCCCCTTTTTGTGCTATTTTATTTGTGACGAATTTAACTGTTAATTTTTTTATACGGGGAGGATAAATTATTATTCTTATAACCACCCTAGTGATTCAGATTCAAAACTTTAATTTGATACAGAGCTCATATATATAACCTCACTATTTTTCTCCCCTCATTATAAGGTAATTTATTTATCAATCGGGGCGTAATATTGACATAACATGATACTTTTATCTCTTTAACTTATAAAAGATGGACAAAGATTGGTTTTAATTGCAGTTTAGTATGGTTATATCTAGAGTGCCCTGTTCAATAAGTTATTTTGTTACTTGTAAGGTGTCTGTATAATTCTTTTTTTTCGTACCGATAAGATAGTTCGGTGATCTCTTTTTTACATGCTTTTAAGACGCTCTTATATTCATTTTTTTATAAGAAATTTGTTTTGATAATTGTTTTCCCTTTCTTTTTTTACCGGTTTGAATACCGCTACATAATTACTTTAAATTAGCATGTCAATCAACATTCATTATACCACACCATTTCCCCACCACACATACACTGTACACACACACACATTGTAACACTATTGATAGAATTGCTGCAATCGTAGGAATTCTCAAAAAATGCAGGTAGAACAAGAATGACATAACAGTTTTGTTGGCAACAATATTGCGACAAAATCTCAAAGACTGGAACACTAATAGTTTTTAAAATAATAAAAACCGCAGTATCCAAGATGGAAAGTTTTCTGGAGAAGAGATGGACATAGCACGAAAAAGATACCTCAGATTAACAGCCAACAAAGGGGGGCCTCGGTAACATCTTCGTAGGGCCTGCTTTACCCACTTCTTTATCTTTCTCATAAAACCCCAAGAGGGAGAATTCTCAACAGCACCCGCAGAGTATATAGAAAACTGAAAGGAAAGTGGATCCCTTACGGAACCGCTGGAGATTAATAACGTATTCCTTTTGAGGTTTCTGATTACCGATGATCAGACTGACTTTAACAGCAAGCTGTTACTTGTGAGGGGAGTTCTAAATTGTGAAAACTAATCTAATACAACATATTTCTAATATACATAGAAATTATATTGAGAGATACTACCAAAATATTCCTTCTATCAGCGTACATTCTTTTCTGAATTTTGTGATATTACTTCTATTCCTTTTCTTCTCTAGAGTTATTGCATTTCTCTCATCTTTCATCGTATTAGTAGACTCTAGTGACTTGAGGGATCCTTGTATGCAGTTGACTGTTTCTTTTTTAGAAGCTTTAGAATGTAGGTCCAGCGATTATTACTTCTTATAAAGTAATTTATTTGCTAATTTATAATTATTTAATAATTAGAGTTTGAATGATTTTCATTACTGTTGAAATATGTATCAATACTAGTCCATACTTAAGTTTAAGTTATGTCTATGAACACTAATAAGTTAAAAGACTAAGATAAAAAGTTATAAAAATTATGACTCAAAGATATGTTACTTTCAATAATTAATAGAATTATTGAATAATTTTAGTTTATTTTGAGGTACTGCCAGATGTAATTATAATCATAATTGGAAACTTAGCAACACTTGACAATTAATGTTGTATTTATTAGCTCATTTTGTAACGCTGATTTTTTGGTTATATGGAATGTGCCAGATAACAATAGCACTATCAGGTGTGGTGTTTCTGTTACTTGTAGAAGTCACAATTGGCACCACGTGGCTCGCCCTAGTATATCTCTTGTGACCTCGTGTGCGGCAAGACTGCTATAGAATTCTTGACAGCTGTAAGTATTTACAACTTCAGTACTACTGTCTCTACTTTATTTTACTGGAGTACGTTTATTTGTAGAGTAAGCATACCCGTATACACCAGTGCTGCAAACAAAGACATCTTGGATCTCGACGTCTATAACTGTCTCCTGAGTATTATTTTAATGTTATACTTAAAAGATTTATGTTTATATTTTGAAGTTAGCATGAACAATGCAAATTAAGTTTGTTTAAATTATCTCAAAAAAGTAAACTGCAATAATTCTGATTGTAAACATTGCAAGAATCACTATTTTTTGGTTCTTTGAAATTTAATTTGTTTAAATTTGAATTATGACTGGAGCATAAAATTTAAAAAATTAATATGCCATTCATATATTACATAATGCAATTTAATTAACAAAGATGTGTTTTATTGTCACTTAATTTTCTCAAATATGGAATAGTAATTATTTATTAATGTTGAAAAGGATACTTTCTTGAGCCAAGGTTGATGTTTGAGTTTCAAAAGTCATTTTGCAAATGAGAAGCATATAGTGGTATTTTGTACATTCCCCTCCGACTAAAATTTACTTTTTGATTTACTTCATTATGAGGCATTTCTTGTGAAAGATGATTCAGAAGATTACAATATGAACAAAAGAGGGGGAGAAGTTTGGCCAGTCCTACATTATTTGAAGTACGACAAAACAATAGCAAATGGTATTGTTACCTTGACTGGGGGGAGTCGAGAGTTTGAGGAAAAGAAGGGAGTAAGGGGTAGGGTATCCTGATTGAGTATGACAGGAGCTACTGTAAAATTATTTATGAAAATCCAATTTCAAAACGTTGTGTGCCAAAACATATATTTTATAAATATAGAATAATTACTAACTAATTAATTATGATATTGTGTCTATGGCAGAGAAATTGATAATTTAGTTTATTGGGAAATCTCAAGAATACCGTTATTATCTTCAAATCCAAAATTTGATATTTCAAGGAATTATTAAATGTGGTTGCAACGCTGAGAAATCTGATTATTTTTTCATTTTTCCTGATACTTCACAGGTGAGCCTATTTCACTTCTCCACACACCCTGTGCGCCACCTGGGGCACTCCATGACTGCCCTTCAAGGCCTGGAGATACCTTATACAGGATTGTGCTGTTTCAAACTTTGTGCTACCTGCATTGGCTCTGTACAACATGAGCTTGACTGATGTGAGTGCAGAGTACTGGCACTTCCTGTTTTCTCTCCTTACAATTTGCTGCATATGGATGTTGATAGACTGCCTTATTTGGGAGTGCGCCTGTACCTCTGGTTAAACTATGACCACTCACATCAGTACTTCTTATGAAAAATGTGTTCGGAATTATCTTGGCCCTTCGTGGTTTGATACCAGATGTGACAGAACTGTTCGCGCCGGCGCACTGCTGATGGAACCCTAACCAGCTGCTGCCAATGGGTATTTGAAGGAGGGGCTGGAGAGCTTTAGAGCTGCAGCCAGTGCCTTGTGTGAAGGAAGCTGGTGATTGCTGCAGCAGAAGGGGATTGCATTTCCTCGCCTTGCTATTGAGCAGGGGCTCTGACGCACCTACTTCCGAATCCAAATTATGTCACATGCTTAAATATAAGTAAGTTCTGAAACAGGGTTTATTATTTAACTTGCCATTGATTATGAAATGCACAAGCTTTAAGATTTTGTGACCATTAGAATTGTCTAATTGTGATTGTGCCTATCAAATAACTTACTACTTTACTTCCATAAATGTCTCCAGAAGAATGAAGATGAAAGTTATACAAAACTTCCTTGTGCTCTCTTCTTTTATCTAGAGTGCTATTCACTACTTACTAAGGGCATCAATAGTTACCATTAATTAAACTTCTTGCCTTTTGAACAGCCCAGAGCACAAGCTAATGGAGTTGAAATGCCTGTGAAAAAATAGTAATCTCATAGACAATGATAATAATGTTTCAGGTGGAAAAAATAGCTTCCATCAGTAGATAATACTTGCTCAGTCATACCAGAAAATGTTAGGCTCATGTGATCTTCACTTCCTTTCTGGATTTTTATTTCAATCTTCAACTGGGACTCTCTTTCAAAATAGATTATTTAGTTTTTTCACTTTATATGTCTTCCAATTATATATTTATTTTCATTTCCTTCTCCAAACACTTTTGTATTAGTATTTATAACTTTGTAGGCCATTTAACATTTGACAATATTGTAGTTAATATGTATATGTACAAGGCATTTCTTTCTTTCTTCCCTTCCACTTTACTATCAACTACAAATAATGATTAATCATTTAGCATGAATGAAAGTGAACATTTTAGTATAATTAAAATTTTCTTTTTCTTGAATGGGATTGTGCTATTAGAATTCTAGAGACTCATTTGTTGAACAACCTGCTATTTACCTCTTCTTCTAATCAAGAGATTAGGTCTTCAACCTGTTCTGGTGACCATTTAGCACGTGGTCTTCCACGTCCACATTTTCCTTGTTGGTCGATAATGCATTGCCAAAGCCGGAAGGTTGCTTCTGACTCTCTCTCTTTAACTTCAACATCACACTTTAGTGACTTTCTGGTATGAAGACCAATCCAAATAGGATTTGCATTGTGTTAGGGATTTGAAGAATATATCAAGTTACATCTGCTTTTCTTAAAGAGTGCCACATATTGATCAATCAACAGACACATTCCCATGGAACGTTCAATGATTGTATTTTCTTATTTATTAATAAGTAATAACAATATTGACAGTATTCAGCTTTTGTCTATCCTATTTTGGAAAATTACTTCGATTAATTTACAAAACAACGACCAAAAGACATTTGAATTACTGATTTCTACATGTAAACTATCTCAAAATACACCAATTGTTCGTCTGTGTGATCTAGCAAATGTGCTAAAAATTTATCTGTCACCTCCTGCATGTGCATTCAAATTGCAAGCAAATAAATAACAAATTACTTTAAACCTACAAAAAAAATTTAGGAGTTTTTTAATATCTTTAATTGTAAAAGGGCAATTGCATGTAAATTATGAAATAAATAAATATATTTTGAAGAGTTATTTTTAATCTCTAATTTATTAATGTTATGAAATAAACATGGAGGGGAAAAAGTCTAAATGTTTGAGCAAAGCATTTAAATTTGCCTTCATATTTCTTATGAAGAACTTTTAAAAATTATTTAAATTAATTATTAATATGAGGGTATTGTAGATCCCTGGTTAATGTATTATTAATTTTTCAACCTACATTTTTTGTATGTTTCAGGTGAATCCATACTTCTGGTTCCTAGCTGACTTTGCAACTGTATTTGTGTTTGCTGGAACTCTCACCATCTCATATCAATATCTTACAAAAGTTCGCTTTGCAGAAAATGACAGTAAATTACCAAGTGGTGCTATGTTTCCTTTGTCACCAAAGCGTCTCACTCGGCGTTTTCCTGTGTCACGTCTTGGGATTATGCCCCTCAGTTATTGTTCTTGGCTTATTTATTGTACCTTCTTATTGTCTAAGATTGTACTGATCGTTCGTTCTGGTATCTTATATGATTTGTCTCCACAAGCAACATTTGGGCCACAGCTACTACAGGTAAGAGCTAATGTTTCATTCACCTATCACTTCCAAAATATAAAATCAGTTGATAAGTGAATTAACTGGGGTTTTAGGCTACATAACGCAGTTTTGATCTTTATATTGCATGTTTTTGTGTTTTTACTGCATGTTTTAGAGAGTTTTACTGTACAAAAATATGGTCTTTAGTAATATAATATTGAATTGTTCATGTTTGTGGTGATTCTAACAGATTATAAATGAAAATTCTGTAAAAAATTACTGTTATTTGAAAAATGTGTACACAAAATTATTCTAATAGATCTAAGATTGAGGAATAATTTACATGAAAAAAAAAAGTCTAACTTTAATATCGAAAGTGTAGAAAAGTGTTTGAACTTTTCAGATTTCAACATACTAGAGGTTGTAATAAAAAACAACCTACAAAACACATGAAGTGAAATTATGAACTGCCAGGCCAAAAATTTGGTAATATTTTTGAGAAATCATTAGGGTATATTTTTCTGTCATGATTAGATTCAAAAGTACACAAAAACTACTCATTTCCCAAAAGAAATTTTCATGGCATTATTTAATGATCTACTTAAATAAAAAGAACAAATTTAATGAAGAAAAAATCTGTAATGTTTTTGTTCTTGTGATTGTCTTTAAAATCTTGTTGTAGTAGGGTATCTTTTTCATGTTTTTAGGCAATCAAGTTTTAGAATTTGTATACATACTTACATACATGTATACATTCATATATACACACCATATACCCCACCACACATACACTGTACACACACACACATTGTAACACTATTGAATAGAATTGCTGCAATGTAGGCATATCTCCAAAAAATGCATAGTAGAACAAGAATGAACATAACAGTTTTTGTTGGCAACAATATTGGACAAAATTCTCAAAGACTGGAACACAATATTTTAAAATATAATAAAATAACGCAGTAATCAAGATGGGAAAAGTTTTGGAAGAGACATGACATAGCAAACGAAAAAGATACCTCTAATTAACAGCCAAACCAGGGGGGGGGCCCTTGGTAACAGTTTTCTGGCCTGCTTACCCCACTTTCTTTATTTTCTCATAAACCCCAAGGAGGAGAATTCTCAAAGCACCATGGCAGAGATATATAAGAAAACTGAAAAGGAAATGGATCCCTTACGAACACCTGGAAGATTAATAATATCCTTTTGAGGTTTCCTGATTAACCATGATCAGACTTCTAACAGAATGTGTACTTGTGAGGGGAGTTGTAATTGAAAACTAATCTTATACAACATATTTCTAATATACATAGAAAATTATATTGAGAGAACTACTACCAGAAATATTCCTTCTATCAGCGTACATTCTTTTCTGAATTTTGTGATATTACTTCTATTCCTTTTCTTCTCTAGAGTTATTGCCTATTCTCTCATCTTTCATGGTATTGTAGACATCTAGTGACTTGAGGGATCCTTGTTGCAGTTGACTGTTCTTTTTAAAAGCTTTAGATGTAGGTCCAGCTGCATTTATTACTTCTTATAAAGTAATTTTTATTTGCTAATTTATAATTATTTAAATATTAGAGGTGTTGAATGATTTTCATTACTGTTGAAAATATTGTATCAATACTATGTCCATACCTTAAGTTTAAGTTATGTCTATGAACACTAATAAGTTAAAGACTAAGATAAAAAGTTATAAAAATTATGACTCAAAGATATTTACTTTAAATATTAATAGAATTATTGAAACTATTTTAGTTTATTTTGAAGGTACTGCCAGATGTATTAATAATTCATAATTGGAAACTTAGCAACACTTGACAATTAAGTGTTGTATTTATTAGCTCATTTTGTAACGCTATTTTTGTGTATATGGAATGTTGCAGATAACAATAGCACTATCAGGTGTGGTGTTTCTGTTACTTGTAGAAGGTCACAATTGGGCACCACGTGGCTCGCCTAGATATCTCTTTGTGACCTTGGTGTGCGGCAAGACTGCTATAGAAATTCTTGACACTGTAAGTATTTACAACTTCAGTACTACTGTTCTCTACTTTATTTTATGGAGTACGTATTTTAGAGTAAGCCATACCCAGTATACACAGTGCTGCAAAAAGACATCTTGGATCTCGAATCTACTAACATTCTTCCCTGAGTATTATTTTAAATGTTATACTTAAAAGATTTTGTTTATATTTTGAAGTTAGCATGAACAATGCAATTTAAGTGTTAAATATCTCAAAAAAGTAAACTGCAATAATTCTGATTGTAAAGCATTGCAAGATCACTATTTTTGTGGGAATCCTTAAAATTTAATTTGTTTAAATTTTGAATTATGACTGGAGCATAAAATTTAAAAAAATTGAATATGCCATTATATGTTTACATAATAAATTTATTACACAAAGATTGTGTATTGTACATTAATTATATCTCAAAATATGTTAATAGTAATTTATTTATTAATGTTGAAAAAGGATACTTTCTTGAGCAAGGTTGATTGTTTGAGTTTCAAAAGTCATTTTGCAAATGAGAAGCATATAGTGGTATTTTGTACATTCCCCTCCGACTAAAATTTACTTTTTGATTTACTTCATTATGAAGCATTTCTTGTGAAAGATGTATCAGAAAGATTACAAATAGGAACAAAAGAGGGAGAGAAGTTGGCAGTCCTACATTATATTGAAGTACGACAACAATAGGCAATGGTATTGTTACTTGACTGAGTAGGAGTCGAGAGTTTGAGGAAAAGAAGGGGGTAAGGGGTAGGGTATCCTGAGTTGAGTATGACAGGAGCTACTGTATAAATTATTTATGAAATCCAATTTCAAAAGTTAGTGTGCCAAAACATATATTTTATAAAATATAAATAATTACTTAACTAATTAATTATGATATTGTTGTCTATGGGCAGAAAATTGATAATTTAGTTTTATTGAGAAATCTCAAGAATACGTTATTATCTTCAAATCCAAAATTTGATATTTTCAAGGAATTATTAAATGTGGTTGCAACGCTGGAGAATCTGAATTATTTTTTCATTTTTTCCTGGATACTTCACAGGTGAGCCTATTATCACTTCTCCACACACATCCTGTGCGCCACCTGGGAGCACTCCATGCTGCCCTTCAAGGCCTGGAGATACCTATAACAGTATTGTGCTGTTTCAACTTTGTGCTACCTGCATTGGCTCTGTACAAACTGAGCTTGACTGATGTGAGTGCAGAGGTACTGGCACTTCCTGTTTCTCTCCTTTACAATTTGCTGCATATGATGTTGATAGACTTGCCTTATTTGGGAGTGCGCCTGTACCTCTGGTTAAACTATGACCACTCAACATCAGTACTTCTTATGAAAAATGTGTTCGGAATTATCTTGGCCCTTCGTGGTTTGATACCAGATGTGACAGAACTCGTTCGGCGCCGGCGCACTGCTGATGGAACCCCTAAGCCAGCTGCTGCCAATGGGTATTTGGAAGGAGGGGCTGGAGAGCTCTTAGAGCTGCAGCCAGTGCCTTGTGTGAAGGAAGCTGGTGATGCTGCAGCAGAAGGGGATTGCATTCCACGCCTTGCTATTGAGCAGGCTCCTGACGCACCTACTTCCGAATCCAATATTAGTGCACATGCTTAATATAAGTAGTTCTGCAAACAGGGTTTATTTATTTAACTTGCCATTGATTTATGAAATGCACAAGCTTTAAGATTTTTGGGACCATTAGAATTGTCTAATTGTGAATTGTGCCTATCAATAACTTACTATTTACTTCCATAATGGTCTCAGAAGAATGAGATGAAAGTTATACAAAACTTCCTTGTGCTCTCTTCTTTTATTCTAGAGTGCTATTCACTCTTACTAAGGGCATCAATATTACATTAATTAAACTTCTTGCCTTTTGAAACAGCAGAGCACAAGCTAATGGAGTGAAATGCCTGTGAAAAAATAGTAATCTCATAGACAATGTAAGATAATGTTTCAGGTGGAAAGAAAATAGCTTCCATCAGTAGATAATACTTGCTCTAGTCATACCAGAAAATGTTAGGCTCATGTGATCTTCACTTCCTTTCTGGATTTTTATTTCAATCCTTCAACTGGGACTCTCTTTCAAAATAGATTATTTAGTTTTTTCACTTTATTGTCTTCCAATTTTATATTTATTTTTCATTTCCTTCCTCAAAACATTTTGTATTAGGTATTTATAACTTTGTAGGCCATTTAACATTTGACAATATTTGTAGGTTAATATGTATATGTACCAAGTGCATTTCTTTCTTTTTTCCCTTCCACTTTACTATCAACTACAAATAATGATTAATCAGTTAGCATGAATGAAAGTGGAAACATTTTAGTATAATTAAAATTTTTCTTTTTCTTGAATGTGGATTGTGCTATTAGAATTCTAGAGACTCATTGTGTTGAACAACATTGCTATTTACCTCTTCTTCTAATCAAGGATTAGGTTCATCAACCTGTTCTGGTGACCATTTAGCACGTGGTCTTCCAACGTCACATTTTCCTTTTGGTCGATAATGCATTGCCAAAGCCGGAAGTCTGCTTCTTGGCATTCTTCTTAGATGTTCGCATCATTTCTTGTTATTTTTGACCGGCTCGTCGAGCACTGGTTCTATCCCGAGTTCTCCCCTTAGATCACTATTTCTTTTTTTATCTAAAATGTATATCCTAAATATCGAATAAATTTCATTTCTGCTGCCTGAACTTTTGATTTATCTCAGTTTGTCATTACTCGAGCTTCATTTCTGTATGTTAAAATGGGCACAGCCACAGTATTGAAAAACTTTACTCTAGTATCTTTTCGTGTTTTGTTTCTCAAATTCCTATAAATTGTTCCACATATGTTTCGGAAATGGTTTAATTTTATGTCCAGGTCTATGTTTTTTCCATAAGAAATATGGCATCCTAGATACTTAAAGTGTTTTACTTGCTCTATTATTTCATCTTCGATGACTATTTTTGTTCTTACAGAAGTTTTCCCTTTAAATGCTTTAAATTGTTTTTGTTTTATTAGTGGAGATTTTGAGGTTATATTCCTTAATTAATTGGTTTAGTGCAAAAGCAGCTTTCTGTAATTTATCCTCATTTTCCTGAATGATCACTCGTCAGTGTATAAAAGGGAGTTCATAAAAATTTTGTTTCCAAGATGTATTCCCGGGTCAATTAACATTTTCCATGTTCTCAACATATCGTCAATATAAATGTTAAAAAGGGTTGGCGAGATACAGCAACCCTGCCTTACTCCTTTGTTAGTGGGAATCTCTTCTGTCATTTTCCTTCCTACTATATAGGCTCTTTATTGCTTCCACCAAAATGTATCAGGCTATCCTCTTTTTTCAAGGATATCCATATAACTGCCATTATCGAAAGCCTTTTCGAGATCTATAAAGGCTAGGTGAATTTTGCGGTTGAATTCTCTTGTTTCTTCAATTATTCTTTTTAATGTAAATATGGCGTCTGCACAAAATCTGCCTTTCCTAAATCATACTTGCTTTTCTGATAGTTGTGTCTAGGTGTTCTGCTATTAGTTTAAGCCTCTTACTTAAAATTCTTGTGTATAACTTGTAGACTGTATCTAAAAGACTTATTCCTCGATAGTTATTCGGATCTGATCTGTCTCCTTTTTTGTACAGGGAGATATCTTTTGCTTGGTGCCATTCATTTGGGATCTGCAAATTTTTCCAGCACACATTAAAAAAGTGCAATATTTGATGATGGAAGAGTATTCAAGCATATTTTATCAGTTCTGTATTAATGTTATTAAGTCCTGGCGCTTTACTGTTTTTTGTTCCCTTCAAAGCTTCCAGCAGTTCTTCTATCTCTAGGTTATGTACCCAGGCTGTCCCATGTTAGTAGATGTACTTGCATGTAAAAGATCCTCAAGCCTAAATGAAGCCTCTGAGCTAAATTCAAATCGTCTGTTTCTCGCCCAAGAAATACCTTCTTTCTCTGGTAGTTGGTGAAAGGAGTGTAGCGAAATTTGTGTGGTCCGACGGAAGAGCAGGCCTAATGGCCTGAGTCTCGCCACGTAAAATAATGTTCTTCATTCATTTTTACCCAAAAATGTGCATATTTCACCATTTGATTATGAATGTTTATGTGCCTATTCCAGAACCCTGTAGTGCATGAACAGTTTGTGTTTTCTTAGACCCTTTTGGATGGGGTGTTTAGCCCTGAGAATACTAATGATCAGCTATATGTGTATATTCTCAAAAAATTCATTTGATTTCACAACACTCCATCAACGTGATTGCGCGTCAGGAAGGAATCTCCAAAAAATGAGCAACGCTAAATTATTGTAGCTAAGAATTAAAACACGACAGTTGAACCTCATGAATACTTTTGTGAATTGGTTTATAGGATTTCTTTCATTCTTCAAGATCAGAATGCACTTGTTGCATGAAATCCAAATGAAAAGCAGTAGTTCTTTACCAGAAAGTATGAACATTGTTATGTAATTTGTTGCTGCTTGATTATTATTTTTTAGTATTGGGTTATATGTGCCTGAGGTGATATTGAATGTTCATGTACATTCTCATATCAGTGGATTACATTAGTTCGAATTATTGGTAACTGTAATTAGTGACTTAAGCATATTGAAATGTTACATTTAGCATATCAACATTTTTGAAAGGAAATAACTGTTTGACGAAAGATTTATAGTGGTAGTTGATATTCATTGGAATATTCAGCTTTTCTGTGAACTATATTACCTGTTACAAAGTGGGCTAAACAAGTGTGTATTTTTGGTACAGTTTGTTTGGCACTTTCATGACATAAAGCCATGTCTTTATTAAAATTCTTTGTGTGGTTTGGAATAATGGCTTTATTTTCTCTTTTGGTTAGTCAGGATGAATTTTTATTGCTAAGATTTAAAATGAAGCATAAAAGTAACATTTACTTTCTTTAAGAAGGGAATTGTGCAAATGTAAATTGCAACAATACCATCTTTAACTAAAAATCAGCCTAAACACTTTTTTAATTTTAGTTTTATTATTTAATTTTGTGATTGTTTAACATAATTACTATGTACCTGCTCTTTAACTGCACTGAGTATTTTCCTTCAGTGTTTGTTGATGGACAAATTATTTTTATTATATGAAATTTTAGACCAATCATTTCCAGAAATAAATTTTAGATGACCAATAGAATATATTTTTCAGTGTATTATTTCTGGAAATGGGCTGATGTTACTCAAGTCACTATGTGACTTCTAAAGAACTGTGTGCCTTGTCTCGTACGTGCAGACTGCATTTAAGTACTTATGTTCAATATTTTGCCTTGCTAATTTTTTCTATTAATGTACTTTTTTTATAATTTTTACATGCCTCTTACAAAATCACCCAATGAATTTGGTCTCTTTTCGTTGTGAATGTGTATGATTAAATGTATTTATTAACATTAGGTGAATATTTATGCATATAGTACTTCCAGATGTAATGTGCCTTTACATACAAGTTTTGTGTGGAGATTTTTGTGAATAGGTTTACATTTCCTATGGTATTAAGAAGTTAAGGCTGTAAAACAACATATTTAAAATTATAGTGTACATTTATATATGCTTATATTAATTATATTTTGTTAAAAAATGTGATCATGGAGCAAAATGTATTTGTAAAGCCACTATGAAATATAATAATTTAGTTCTTTCAATAAATAGAGGTGGATATAAAATATTGTTCTCGTTCATTTCAAAACTAATAAAACACGAAATTCACCAAAAGCCTTTCATTTCTGATACGCAGTTAGGCAAACCACATAAAACTTAACTCATATATATATACAGTCTTTCCAGCATCCATATGACAGAACATGGCGTGTTGTTAGTTGACACAAAGCCATTACTTGTCTATGGAGTTACATACAAGCCCTAACACTTTCTCTCGAGGCAACTGTACCCTGGGAGACTTCTGCGAATCTGCCCCAATTAGTAACATGAATCATCTACGCTTGGGTCTAGGTTGTTGAGGAATTCATCAGCATGGTTCCCCTTTAGCACACAAAGGTGAAAACCTTCTGTATATCACATCTCGTGATGGTGGTGGTGAATATGTGCTTAGTTCTAGCATGGTCGGTAGCATTCTCAACCACTGTCAGAGACCTATGGTTGCCACAGAATTGTTAATGGGATTAAGTCAATGAAACCCAGCTCAGAAAAACCACCTGAGGAACTGGCATCTTGTCAGTTTCATAAAGAGTTGTATGCTCCGACTCATGTTGAGAGAGCAATGGCTCTATTTTTTTTTAGTGGCAGGAGATTGCGTCCCAGTTCAAACAGGAACAAATAGCTGGAGTAAGACCTTGTGTGTTTAGCACAATTTCCTCAGTCAGCATTGACATACACTTTATATATGCGAGGAAACTATCATTCATTTCTACATGTTTTGAGCCCTGAGAAACCTTATGGCAGCCTTCTAGCAGTCAATGTCAATACAATATTATTGAACTTTCATTACCACTTCTAGCAAATGATGTCTTAGATATGTGGGGGAGTCCAGATAATTGATGCCTCCATCAAGCTCCTGGTAGGGGAACTTCAAGACATCAGTGGACTCCGGGTAGTATTTTTGTAACTTGATGCTCAGGTCCTCAAGAGAGTTTACTGCATTGCGGTCTGTTATGCCGAATTGCAATAGTTGTTCCTGAATGTAACATTTCTAATGCAGTCGCCTGTCCATCTGACTGATTGAGCACCAATCTAACTGACCTGAGGACATAGATGACATTTTTGGCAGCTAATCTCCTGATGAGCTCAAATATCATCTCGCTGCGAGAAAATATTATGGTATCAATGTATGTCATGATGAGAATGGCATCTTTTTCAGAAGAACAGTAAAGAACAAGCAGACCAAATTTTGATGGGACAGTGCCTGAACTCTTCATGGTTTTGTCCAACTTTGTGTGCCAACTTCTTCCAGCTTGATGTAAACTATGTCCCAGCAGTGCCTATGACCAGGAGGTCCTAGCATTTGAGTACCTTTGGGAGCAGAATTTTCAACACTGACTAGACAGCTAGGGGGAATTCTAGCGATCGGCTCTGATAGACAGTTTGCCATGGTTTCTCTGATCCACACCAGGTGAATGCCGGATCAGTACTCTAACAAATGGGCCACGGACTGTGTGCGGTCTTCCCTTCCTCTTCACCCCTTACTCATAAACCCTGACATACACTTCACTGCCACATGTTGGGAGATCAGTCGGAAGCTTAGAGCATGTCATGTCTGGGACGGCGCCCTGCAGAGGGAGATACCATATTGGAGAAAATCTAGCGAGATGACGTGTTCATCGATGCCAGTTCACACCAACCAGCTTGGCAAGTCACCGCCACCTTCCGCGATAAAGATATGCTCTACACTTACGGGATAAATTACCTGAGTAGTTGACACGCCCAGAAAAGCCAATCAATCAATTGATGTGAAAAACAAGGATTTCTTTAAGGGACGCATGCCTCTTGCGTTCAGTCCAATGCGACTTCCACCCTAAGAACATATGTCTCTCAATATTTCTCTTCTTTAGATAGCTTTAAAATCTCTTTAAGTTTTGCATTGAAGTGTCAATGTTTAATTGTCACACCATCCCTTGGCTAGCAGCACAAGATGCCACCAGGCGAATTGTACTTCTTTGGGCCTGCTGTCTCAACCCCTGGAAAGTGCTCTTTTCTCACGTTGGCTTGGGTTTTTTCCCCATATAGGTATCTCCCACCAGTGGATCACTGCTCTAGCAGAGATTCTAAGCTTTCTACTTGTGTGGTAGTGAAGAAAAGATTGTGCGCAATCCGAGCCCAGTTTGTTCAGGTCCTGTTCTGGCATTTGTCTGATCAGAAAATACACAGAAAAACAGAAAACTATCGAACAGAACAGGCAACCACAAGAATTCTCCAGATATTTGGCCTAGCTATCAGACTAGTATCTCAAATCCTGCCACCATAAAGCCTCAAACACTACGATCTCCCAGTTACAGAAACTGCGGTGACATCATTTAAGGATTAATGGCCTGTGCAACCTCAGCCAGTCGACAATATTTCGTCAGTTTTCCAGTGCAACAAGATTAATAATCTTGGGCTGCCCAGGATCTCTTATGTCCTAATAATAGATATGAAGCGTAGCTTTGTCATATGTTTTTATTTTCACAGAAAGCCTTTTCGGTTGCATTGCGACCATCTTCAGTACTACAAGAAATAATTTCCAAATTACAAATAAAATATAATCTATTACAGAATATTATTATGAATAAAAATTAGAATTTAACTTCTTTTCAGCACGTTTTCAATATGAATCCAAGTTAAACAAAACGCTGAAGGGGATTATGTAATTAAGGGGTATGTTCTGAAAAAAGTTGCAAACTTATTCAATTTCTTTCTTAATTTTCTACCTGGCTGACCTTTGGCCCAAACAAGATGGTGGTCAATGTCAGTTTGTAAGTAACATAGTTTATTTTTAAATGTTTACATTTTATTAGAAATCTATTTTCAAACATTGATAACTACTTACTCCAATTATTGTACATCAAAGAGAATCTGTAACCAGAAAAGTTTTCACAAGTAAAATTGTTGTTGAAATTCACAACCTGAATCTGAACTACTAGATTTACTGTACCACAGTAAAACAGTGATAGTACATGAGAATACAGGCATATGTAGATGGCGGGTCAATGTTACCTCTTAAAGGCCAACATAACTCCAGTTTATGGTTCTTTAAAATTATTTTTTAATATGTATGTTGCTGCACTCTCCACCTTTCCTGCACTGCCAGAGACTTTATGTATTCCAGTACTTCATGCCATAAGTTCAATCAAGCTGGAGTTCAATCAAATCCTTTTTAATGAGCCCAAAAAAGAAAATGAAACAAAAAAAAATGAATTTACAGATATTAAAAAGGAAACTGAACAATTTTAAAAGTTGGCAAAAACTAGTTACCGAGGAGGCATAAATTGTGCAATTGCTTCTAAAATAGCTTGAAATGAATCCCTTTTTGTTTTCTTAATGTGTTCACGCCATAAAAACTCAATTAGATAATAACTCTCTGGCATTTGCACATGCGTTCCATATTCCACTTTTCTTACTTTGGGATTCCGTGCACCACTGCTTGTTTCAACAAAATAATATTTGTTTTTAGCAGTAAATTGTTGAAACGAATCATCATCATGTGAGTTCATATATCCTCTCCAACAATCAGATATAATTACACTTCCTTCATTAACTTTCTCCCTAATGACCCCACATAAAGCTTCTGCACTTTTATCAGGAATCATTACCATGAACACCTCTTTGGTTTCACGGCATATACCTCCAAAAATCCATTGTTGAGGAACCACACGACCTGCATAATTTTTCCTCGGTGAAAATACACATTCACCGATTTCCACAGTTAAACCTTCTCCACCAATTTTGGAAACACAACAATCCATAATAACATAAGCACAAACTTCTCGTAAATAATTATTCCAATCAACAACAGTGTTATCATCTATTTCCAGTTCAAACTGACAGAACTTAACTGAAGCCATTTCCCTGCTCCACCAATAAATAAATCTTACTACTTTTAAGAAAGGAAGACGAGTGCTTTCGAGCCAATTGTCACTCCTAAGGCCTTTATTTTTCTTGCAACTTGGACATCTCCACGCTATCTTCACACCGAAACTAAGTTTCATAGTGTAGTTCTTACAACACTTTCTTTCTTTATGCACTATATTGTGTTCTTGTAGGAATTTCAAAGCCGTTTCTTCAGTATTACATATTTCACTCAAACGTACAAAATTGAAAGAAGCCATCGCAATCAATCGCGGTGGACATAAGACCGGGATCAGATACAGTCAAGATGATAATATAATTTATTAGTAATATCACAGTCTAATAAATATGTTACATTGTGCTAATAAATTCCGATCGGACCAAGAGTCCTCTCTTGTTAAAAGCCCTCTTGGGATGGAACCGTAGGCACCTGCCCATACCTCTCTAAAATCACAAATAATCCCATACACTTTCCAAATACTCTGGCCCATGGTTGTAATATCATTTCTATCACGCTCTGCTCACACCGTGATAAACACTGTTGTCTGACTGAAAGAGAGTGACATCTGACGGATCATCAGTTATGATGCGGTTATCCAATTGGGCGTGACTGATTACTGCTGATTACTGAGAGTCATTGGTTGAAGTCATCATACCGACACTCTTAAAAAGAATATTAGGTGTTCCCAAAACAACCAAGTGAAGATTAATGTACGAGCTGGCAAGAGAAACCATGTTCATTGAGGATTTAAGGATTCTACTCCTGTCTCAAACAATAGCAATACGTGTTATAAAAAAAAAACACAAAAAAACAACCAAAAAAAACAAACAGGAAATAAATATCTGGCTGAAATTCTACGCCTAAGAAGCAACGACAAACAGAAAATGGGCCGCGACAAACGAGAGATGAGGCATCTATAGTCCGTATACGATCATCTACTGCGACATCTATCTAGCAGTACGACCAGAGTAGTATACGGGCCACGATCGAGAAAGACGCAAAATACCTCGAGTTATTACATCGTGAAGATAGGCCCTCATGCGCCAAGAAATAAAAACTTACTTGTACACTCTGGGTTACACGCCTTCGAGACTCGAAGATCGAGTGACAAGAGAGACCAAGGGGCCCCTTGAGTAAAGTGTGGTTAATTGTCGACGCAATTGTTAGATTTACGCCTCTAACCGATAATTAATACAAATGTTCTGTGCTAGGTTATGGAATCACGTTACAAGGTTTGCACATTGACGCTGTGTACTTGTAATTATTTTCTTAATGTAAAGAATTAAAATATATCTATTTTTTAGAGTGACGAAATCGCAGTGCTTCAATCAAGTACAGAAAAATACGATTGGAACTGCATTTTCTCCCTTACTCTTCAAGTTTTCTCCGTGTTTGTTGTTAGTATTTTTCAACAATCTATTTACCATAATTTGTTTTGGACAGAAACGAGATTCACTGATCATTCTTTATTTGCAGTGCAGAACCTTTGAAGAAGAAAAAAAGAATAGATCCTGCTATATTGAAGGCAAGAGAAGAGAGAAAGAAGAAAAAAATTGAAAAGCAGATTCGTAGGCTCGAAAAAAATGCTAGGCAGTTGAAACCCATTGAGGAAGTAGAAGTGCCATGGATTTTAATTGACGAGAAATCGTAAGTTTTATATAATCGAAAATAATGTCATGAACATCTTCATCTCTTCTGTCAGTGGTGGATCCAAAAAGACTTGGAGAGAGAGAGAAAAGGGGGGGGGGGAAGTAGGAAAGAATAAGAAACAAGAAAAAAATGTAGAAATGTTTAAAATGAATTGATAAAGTATCTGCTCGTTCTGTCCTTAGCCTTTTAGTTATGAATAGGAATCCTGATTCT